CAATAATGGCAAAACTTGCATTAAATTTGAGCAGAGTGAGATTCGTTTGTTTGAACAAATAGCAAAAGTCTCTATTCTGTCAGTCCTTGACAGAGCCTTATTCCTCTCTGTTATTTTGTTGTCAGATGTAGCCCTGTTTCAACCCTGAATTCCCTTAATAAATAAGCAGCCCTCATCACCAAAGTACTTGAAAGTGTACTTTTAATGCTTTCTAGAGTAGAGATGGATTACTAGATTAGCTTTATGGAAATAAATAGCCAGAGTTTTCTCATTACAAATGCAAAAGTTGGAAAATGCAGAATCAAATATAACTCTGTGTCTTTGTGGATTTATGGTTCAAGATAATAGACAAAACCAGGAAAGTGATTAATCAATAAGAGTAAACAATTTTGTCAAGAGTAAAATTACACACATAATTTATTTTCACTGAAAAGAATAACAATTTGCAAATTACAGAAACAAAATGGAAGTGTTGATTAAAAGGATTACAAAAAAAGCTACAAATTGGTGGTATTGTGTTCCATTTTAGTGTGCAAATGAAAAGAGATATAGCTGAAAAGACAGCTGTAATAAAAAAATCTCACTGTGCTTTATTTCACTTTGTTACCTTAAAAAAACCTACATGACTTTAAAATCTTGAATCGTTTAAATTTTTTCCCAAGCACAGATTCAAAGCAATATGCTTTTAGTTTTCTTCTAATTTCTTTAAAGATCCTATTATATGAATATTTTACTTTGCTAGAACATTTGACTTGCTTTATCATAACATATTAAGAAGTTCTTCTAAGTGAGGTATATAATGCCAAATATTTAAACTTGCATACATTAATGCAACAGTATAGTTCCTAACTTGAAAAAGGTTATGCAATACAGAAAGTTATGATATAGACAGCAGTCTCATACATTACTTAATTACAATTCTTGTATTTTATATCCTTATTTATCATTTTCCTTCATGAAGTTTTTTACTGTTTACAGATTCAAAGCAATTGTGAAGGAAAATGTTTGTTTCTGTTTTGATCTCATCTTATTAAGAAAAAACATTCTCTTTTTCAATTTCCAGTTTGAATGGACCCATATTTCTTTACAAAACTGTTGGTGGATATTGCCTTGCAATATTCTTTTTTCCCCAGCGGAGCACTGTTCAGACTGTAATTCTTCTCTGCATGGCATAAGGGAATTGTTCCGAACATTGTGTATCATCAGTACCAAAGACTGATGCTCAGTGATGTTCATTCCTTGTCTCTGAAATATGGATGAGCTTATTTATGTGTTAAAGAAAGGTTAATTTTTTTTTCTAAAACTCTAAGGTTTTATGTATTTATACAAAGAGTTACATACAGAGCACATACAGGTCAATACTCATAAGAAATATCTGTAATTAAAAGTCATATAAAAACATTTTTGAAAGCATGGAGCACAAAAAAATATATCAAAACAAGACTTTTGAAATATTACAGATTCAAATCTTATCTGTTCTTATTTAATACAACTCAGTCTGATACCTTACTTCATTCAGAGCAGGACCTCATTCCAAGAGCCCTTCAATTAATATCAGTATTGTAGATTAGGTTTGTACTAAGCTTACTAAAACATATAATATTAACACATATTATTAACAATATTAACACTCTCCATTCAGGCTACTAAGAGAAATATGTTTCATTACCGTGTTTAAACATGATTGTTCTGTAGAATAAACAAGACCTAAAGAATATTGACTCTAAGTTAATTAGAATCAGATTTAATGGATTTAGAGAAGTGCAAATTAATCCTTTAAGCAGGCATAAGGCTCCTTGCAAGAGTTTTGCTTACTGGACTTTGTAAGCAATGTGTAGAATATAAAAAGGAACTTCAGATATCTGTCATCCTCAAAACTATAGCATTAGTGTGCATTTTTTTTCTTTATGGAACAAGGAAGTATACATTAAAAGCAGTGGGGAATTACCTAGTTTAAGGGGGAACGTACTGCTTGATTGAATAGATTTGTTCCCTTTTCTGTAATCTAAGTTTATATGGTCCTGACAGACACAGCTTTTAAATGATCCATCTTTGTTTTAAGGTGTTGCAAGAAACTACTTGCAATATTAATGGGTGGTTTTTTACAACACAGAAACCAGAATACTGAATTTTAGTATCCATACTGTAAATGTGCCATTTTGCTTATAATAAATTAATCATTCTCACTAGCTAGTGCTGGCTGTAAGAATGAGGTGAGACTCTTGTGTCCTTCTCAAAGCATTTTTACTAATAAAATTCATCAATATATCTAATTAAGTCTTTACAGTCACTTTACCCACAGTAGCTTATTTATCTGAATAATTTCTGCTTTGGTACTCAGTCCCCCAAGCAAATTAAGTAAAGATGTAGAAGGCCAATAAGCAACACAGAACTGTTTGGCCTCCTTTTGCAAAAAAAAGGAAAATATAGTGGGATGCAAGGCAAAAGAACTAAATTAAGCCAAGAAATAGGTGCTGCAAAGATTATCCTATTAAATTACATGTAATACCAATGCAGAGAACCTGGACAATAGTTTATATTGAAAAGCCCCTGAATATACATGATTACCTTAATTTGTTCCAAACAGTGAATATGAAAATCAGGATTATGGGATTTATCAGACTTTATTTTTTTTTTCAGTAAAACCAGTGAGAACATTTTTATTACATGCTATTTTTTTTTCTTGCCTGTGATAAAATTATATAGTCTCTAAACCATAAAGAGTACTGCTTTATTTTCAGATATGCAGCGAATCTTCAATAAAGTCACCGGGGTGGGAAGAAAGACCCTTGCAGAGGCACTGCTGCAGTGTGGCCACCATAGCCCACCTACTGGCCCGTCCCACACAGGCTAGGGAATCTGCTCATCAGTTCTCAGTAACCCCACTTCTTTCTCTTTTTGAGGAGAGTTTTAAATCCGACTAGTGAATTTAGTGGGTGTTTGTTAAAGTCTACTTCTTTAATGCACAGAACTGGTCCTGAAGATCTGTGTGAAGCCAATCTGGTTTATAGTTGTTTATCACTTCTAGCAAAAGTCTTTCTGCTCTTGTAAAGCTGAGCAGCGGCATAAATTTAGAGAGAAGATGAATTTAATTCCTGGAGCTCTTTGAAATAAGGTAGTCATATATACAAATATTTGTAGGCTTAAGCCCAGTTCTACAGTCATAAATACTTACCTGAATGGTCTCAGAGAATATAGTGTGATTTCTAATGAGTTTGTATTTTAGTACCTCAGTGTAAATGTGGGCCTTGATCCTTACAGAGCTTTGCAGAAGATTGATTCTGTATGATGCAAGTGGCTCTGTTGTCATGATCAATCTATTCTGTTCAGTAAATGTGTATGCAAATCTTTGCCAGATTAATGCCCAAATTGCCAGAACCACAAAACATTACAGAGAAAGTCAATCAAATATGCAAACTGAAAACCCCCAGATTACTTACAGTAGTTTCTAATATTCTCTGTTTTCAGTAAATGTAGATAATTCTTTAAACAAGACTAATGAAGATAGCTTTTTTATCAACATATGACTTTCCTGCCATTGGATATTGTCTATTACACATAAGAAAAGTAAATATCTCTTGGATATATGTGTTCTTATTATGGTGTAACTAATAATTGCTGTGGTGAAAAAAATCTTCTCCAGTGGTGCTTCAGAAACTAAATATGATTTTCCTGCAAAATCAGCATGCCAATTTTTTATCAGACCCAAAGACTTCACTACAGATGATGAGATTTAGTGATCACTTAATGTGTAGGGTACTTCCTCCTTTATTTAATTTCTTTTACAGCATTCCAGAAGAGGAGTATATAAGCAGTTCCCCATCCTTCTCCAGTGGAGATGCACCTGATAGTAATACATTTGCAGTGGAGACTTCTTGCAGTCATCCCACAGTCCCTAGTTCATCAGTAGGATTTTGCCTCTGCCGCTGGTCTCCTTATTCAAATGAATGAGAGATGTGATGAAAGCAAGTGACTTCTTTTTCTATTATTTAGTTGTTTTCTTTCTAGTAAAGTAAAGCAACAGAAGTCAGCAACTCTAAATGAAACAGAGATGTGTAAATGGTTTAGGAAAATAGCACTATAATTCTGATTAAAAAAAAAAAAAAAAAAGAAAATTACGGGAGTCAGGTTTCTTTAATCACCAGGATACCGTGGGCCCATGTGTGAATTTTGATTGACTGCAGTAAATAGACTCTCATCTGTAAGAGTTTACCTCTTACTGAAATGCCACTATAAAATGCAGACAGGCTATCTGCTTATTTCCTGTGCTTCTTGCTCCTGCTCCAAGCATCGCACGTTCCGCAGGCTCTGGTGATTTCCAGCAGCTGTAAAGCTTGGGTTGCACTGCTGTGATATGACAGCCAGCTCTTCAGCCTGCTTTGCCACACCGGTATCTAGACACCCATGCTTGGTCTGTATGGCAGGTTATAGGTGTTTTAGAAATGGAAGTATACTGGTCAATGCAGTTTCGTTGGTTTACATGGTGACTGGAAGACAGCCATTATTTCTGTATGGGGTTGATATAATTAGACAACCACCTAGAGCTATTTTTTTTTTAGCTGGTGCCTTTGTTTTCTTAAAATGCAGAATAAGGAATGCATTAATTGTACTGCTTTATTACTGTATATTTGTTTTTCTTTGAAAGAAGTGCCAAATCCAGCTGAGTAAAAAAAAACAAACAGAGGGTTGGTGTAAAGGGCAGGCACTTGGCAGGGAATGCACCCGGGTGCGAGCAAAGGCAGGAGCCACAGGTGCACTCCAGGTGAGGGCGTCTGCCACTCTCAGGTGAGCAAAGGCTTCCCGCTGTGAGCCGAAACCAGCAGAAACCAGGAAACGAAAAGAAATATTTAGTCAAGCTGTCCACGTCAGAGACTGCTGAGGAAACAGGCAGGTCAGCTTGGCTAATCATTACCAAGGCAGACTTTGCCTATGTTCACTGCTGATCATATGACCGGACCCCACCTGAGCTAAGAACACGCCCATCCCAAGCAGCAGGAGTAGAGAAGCCTCCCTTGCTTAGGTGTTCTGACATTACTGTTTTGCTGCATGAGAAGAGGCTCCACACTTTCCCATTGTTCTCAGAGCTAAGCCCAGCACAGCTGTTGTGTTGCTTTCCTGTTCCAAAAGGGAAGTGAGAAATTTCCTCCACATGTGTGCCGGCCCTTGAATGCTCAGGTTTCACTCCCTAACCGGGAGCTGCCTGTAATGAGCACTCAGTGGGATTTGGAGAGAAGCTTCCAGCTGTGCCAAGAGTTGTTTCATTTTGTGCCAGAGGAGGAGGGGGAGAAGAAATCTGCGAAAAGGTGAAATGTTGATGGTGCGAAAACTGGTCTAAGGGTCTTGCAGTTGGGAAAAGCAAAAGAAAAGCAGAAGCAGAGGAAGGAACAAGGAACCAGGATGGGAAACTTTTGCCAGAAGCACTGCCCCTGTTTGGAGCCTTACATCCCCTGCTTGTTCCTGGGGACAAAAGATGAGCAGGATGACAAAGTGGGACAAGTCTTCGCCAACCTTGGTGTGGTAAGGCCTGACTTCCAAGCAGGACAGAAAGACCTAGAGAATAAGATAAAAGAGAAACCTTTACCTCCACTACCTGGCCAGCATCTAGCGAACATTTGCACCTTTGTGGCACTGTTTGACTACGACGCTCGCACTGAGGAGGACTTGAGCTTTCGAGTTGGGGATAAGCTGGAAGTGCTGAATGCATCCCACGAGGGCTGGTGGTATGCCAGGCTCCTCCTGCCAACGGGGTCAGTGTGTCCCGGACGCAAGCTCGAGGGCTACATCCCTGCTAACTACATAGCTGCTGACCAGAGCATTGAAGCTGAGCCGTGAGTAACCCACGTAATGTGCACTGCAGACTGTTTTCTGTTATGTTGAATAGGTTTGGGATGGGAAGTTACAGCCTTTTCCCTTGCTGAGTAGTGCCCTGCCCCACTCAACCTCCGGTGATCCCAGTGGTGGTAGCGCTAGTTGGCGTGTGCAAGGAAAAGTCAGTGTGGTAACAAGAAAATGAATTACAAAAGGCAGAACGTGGAGGGGTTTTATTTTGGTTAAAATAATTTCCCTCTCTGATATACCCTAATCACTTGTTTAAGAACCATCTGGGAAGATCAGTGCTACTCTGGTGGTTCATTATTTTTATTCGTGTAACAGTAAGTGTGTGTCAGATGCTACGCAGAGGGTGAAACTGTTTGACCCCTGACCTGAACAGCCTAACAAGCTGCGAAGTTACCAATTAATCAGAGTTACAGGAAGCTAGCTACCTTTACACCTTTCAGTCTTCTTACAAATGGTGGGTGAGTCTCTTAACAGATAAGATTCTTATGGTGTCTTCTACATTACTTGCTTCTTCTTTCTATGCAAATCTCTACCCTCAGGATAAATTTAATTGGAGGAAGTACTGCAAGGGGCAAAAGAGTAGATATAGCAACAGAGTACAAATGGAAGTTGTTAGACTTTCACAGTTTAATTATGCATCCCATGTTTTTCTGCCCTTTCAAAACATGCCTAATCTTATTTAATCTGGTATAGAGCAGAACTCACAAGGAATTAGTTACTTGGCTCCCTAGTGAGGATGAGTAAGGTCTGAGTCAGCCTGGGCTTCACAGTTACTTCTGTGTGTTGCAGTCAGAGGCAGAATTTGCTGAAATACTTCTGACTTTAGTTCCAGAGGTATGTTTTGGTAAAAATTGTCAGTGGGTAAAGAAAAAGCAGAAAAGGCATTCATTATTAGTCTCAGAATTAATGTTGACTTTAGAGGGATGATGTTGCAGCTTTTCAGTTAAATTTCATTTGGACCTGAAACTTCATCTCTGACCTAATCAACCCACTGTATTGCCAAGGGCTAGGAAAATTGGCTCAGATATGATTATGCTAGTCTTTTATCATCTGTAGGATTTGTGCTAGAGGCATTTTAGGGCAGCTCTAGGATTCATCTCTAACATGAAGACTTTAATTTTGAGAGTCTGACCAGCTTTCTATATTTCTGTATTCAGACAGAAAGCACTTTCAATGGTCATGCTCAAAAAAATTCTTCCAATTGCAGAAATTAATCTGCAGGGAAGGCATTTTCTGAATCCTGGAGAAATGGTGGTAGGCTCTAATTCAGCTCAGTTTGGCCTTTGCTCCCTTTCAAGAGCTAGCTTTATTGGAAGTCATCTAAGATTTCTTCATGCTGTTAACACTTAGAAAGTAATTTTGCTCAGTTATAAAACAGTGCCTCAGCTCTTAAGGTCCTTCTTATATTTCTATACCTATAGCTTCAAATACAAAGTTAAGTTTCCAAAGTGCATTGTTGTGTAACCTCTATTTTTTCACTTGTTACTGAAAAAAAATTTTTTTTACTCTTGTTATATACTTTTCTCTCTTTAATAATAAAGACTAAGTTACAGCAAAACATTCTGCTTTATCGATTGTTACAATAATGGAGAGGAAGAAATGGAGAGCTTTTACAGTGCTCAGAGTAATTTCTCAAAAATGAGTTTTTAATTTCACAGCAAGACTAATCTGGCTAATCATATTGTCTTTTCTCAGATTTCTTTCTAAGTCAGTTGGCTTTAGCAATCTTCATATATATACAAGACCGTTTGCTGTCAGCCCACACACATACAGCCATAGACTTACTCAGGTTAGGAAGGGCCTCCAAAGGATATTTGAACCAGTCATCCCAACTCATACATGGCCAAAATAAATATAGAGTGTTTGCTTTGTCGAGCATTTCTAGTCAAGCTTTTCATCCTCATGGTGAGGATTTTTTTGCTTTGTATTTTTTTGCCTTGCCACGGTTTTCTCCAAGAATTCCCTTTCACCCACCCTCTGTATTTCACACCTCTGTTATCCTAATGAAATAGTAAGAGCAAGAGCAATAATGGTTTAAAGAACTAACCCTTGTTTTCCCTAAAGTAAAGATTGGAAGTAGCAAAAGAAGTTGTTCTAGTGTCTCTTTAATTAAAATTCAATGCTTTAATCATATTCTCTACCCAAACTAAAGTTTATCTTCTTTCATCTTTTCATTTTGATTTTAATTCCCATTGGTGTTTGCCAGTTGTTCATGGACATGATATAGACATTTGTGGAAACAGACAAAGTTCCTAATGCACCCTTTCATCCTGTATAACAGTCCTTTATGGTCCCAGCACACAACTGACAAAGAATGGAAGAGTTACAATCTCATGTTTACCTGCATGATGCATATTTACCATATACTTGCAGTGTATTGCTTATGCTTTGCAATATTTGCCAGGCACAGCTGGCAAATCAACAATCTTGACCTAATAAAATGCACATTTTGTAGCACCAGACAGCTACTGTATATCTGCAGAGACAATATGAATTTTATTTTTTTTCTAGACTGCATCTTCATCTTCACCAAGACAAAGTGGCTATACTCTTCTGAGAAACAGACTTGATTCATGGTGTAATTCTTAGGAAGCTTGTGAAGAAAATCAAACTGACCATATTTTTTAGCAGCTGATTTCAGCATGTGTGTGTAGAAACTATTAACAAAATTACATTCTAATGCATGAATGGCTTCTCCATAAATTCACTTGAAAAAAGGGATGAAGGAATGAAATATTCTATAGTGACTGAGAGACAATAGGACCACTCTCAGTTTAGCCAATACATACTTGAAAGCTGCATGCAGAGCAGTCACAATTAGCAGTCACTAATCATTTCAGTTTTGCCTGTGACCTTCAAGATTTTTAACAAAAAAATATCCTTTGGCTCTCTTTTTATCAACGTTTTGACATGGTCTTTATTATAAAGAAATCAGAGATCAGATAGTCCATCTGGATCTGTGTTGTCCATTCTGGCAGAGAATAATGCTAAGTCATTGCTTGTTCTCAGCAAGCACTGCAGCAGACCAGTTTGTCTCCTTGCTGAAGTGTCTGTGAGTTTTTATCAGGGAGAAAAGCTTTTTCTTAATTTTTCCTTGGTAAGAAAGAGAACGAAGTAAAGCAAGAAAGAAAGTGAGAAACTTCTTTAGATAACAGGTTTTCTTCCTGGAAGTCTTTGACTCTGCCCAATGTGACTGAGGTAGTGCTGATAAGGTGGATCAATAACTGGATGAAAGGGCAAAAATGATGTGCAAAATCTCCAGTCTGGGGAAAACAAAACATAAACACTATTCATATCAAAGGGAATTTTCAAGTATCCATGGCTATCAGAATGTTCAAGCTGAACTGAGGAAGAATGAGATTTCTTTACTGTGTTGCTCTTCTTAGATCAACAGTTACTGGTAGAAGTTGTATGCTAAAATTGCAGGGTCACTTTTTTATATTAAATTTTGCTGATATATTGATATTGTATAATAAAACTGACATGGCAAAAGTCAGACACTTCTTATTTGTGCATGATATCTTGTTAAAAAAAGTTCATTTTGCTTCCTTCCTTTGGCTTGAGCTATCCCTTGCTGGGTGAATGACTTGGATGAAATCAGTAACAATCTGTGTGAATAGGTAAGGTAAAATCCATGGCTTGGATCCTGCCTGCTACAGCATTGCAGTCCAAACGTGCTACATAAGAGTAATTACATCCAAAAAGAGCACACCTGCTACCATGAAGTCCGTGTTGGACCGACTGGGGAAACGAGGCCCTTCATTTTTATATTTACCAGTAGAGCATTTTTTTTATTGCTGATCTCTTCTAGCACCTGCAGTACTCCTTACACCAACAACAACCTGTCAGGTGGGGAGATTGTGAAGGAACTGTGCCTAGTGCCTCTTGAGACAGGTGCGTTCTCCAGGTCCCACCTGCAGTAGGTGGGACGAGGCAGTCGGGGAGTGGAAGCATTCAACCGTAATCACATACTGAACTTTCTCTTCATAAGAAAATAAATCTGGTACCACAAAAACATTATTTTAAATAATATCTGACCAAAAGCAGACACAAACCATGCTATGATAAATTAGCAACTGTAAGAGCACTTGGTGTTTTCTTCTCTCTGCATCACAGGTAGCAGTCAAAACCACGAGCCAGATAGATTTTTCATTTCTAAGGTAGTTCGAGGGAGGTTGTATCTGCTGCATCCCATGAATCTGGAATACTCTTCTTTCTGTTTCTAGATACATAAGATTTAGAAAAAGGAAAACAAAAACCACAATTGGAGATACAATCACATAATTTAACTTGCACATCCAGCAAAGGATGATCAGAAAGAACAATTTGACCAACACTAAAATCAAAATCAAAGGATAAATTTCCTTGGCAAAGAATGTGACCTTCCTGTCTCTGTGCTCTTTCTGTGCCTGTTGTTCTGCACTACAAACAGAAACCATAGTAACACATTCACCTGCCCTTGTTTTATTACTGCCAATTGTTTAAACTAAACAAGAAAATTACATAGTACAAATTGTTATGGACCAAAAAAAAAAAAAGCCCCAGCTGTACAGTTAATTTCGATGAAGCAAAAATAAAAGAAAACACCTCGCTGTTGCAGTGACATGAATTCTTTTTTTCTAGAGGAGGGGTAGAATGTACTTAGAGGGGACTCTTGCCTGCCATCCTGATGGACCTGTTGGCTGTTTATTGAAAGTGAGCTTACAGCCATAAAATGAATCATTGATGTTGAAGGAGACCTGTAAAATCATTGAGTTCAACTGTTAATCCAGCACTGCTGTGTTCACCACTAATCACCAAGTGCCACATCCGCACGCCTTTTGAACACTTCCAGGCATGGTGAGTCCACCAGTTCCTCAGACAGCTTGTTCCAATGTTTGACAACCCTTTCCCTGAAGAAATTTTTTCTAACATCCAATCTAAGCCTTCCATGGCTCAACTTATCCTCTTGTCCTGTCACTTGTTATCTGGAAGAGACCAAGCCCCACCC